ATTAAAATATATATTTAAAAAAAGAAAAATGGCAAAGTTACAGAATAATGGTTACAGGAAAAGTTGATGAAACTGCAGTGAGGCAAAATAAAAGACAAAAGGAAGAAGATAGAGAAAATTAAAGAAAATGAAAACAACCCAGGAGATCCAGCGTAGAGGCATTTCAGGGTAAGAACAAGGGAGCCAAGGAGGAGGTTGTTAGAGCAACAAGGGAAATGTCCCAGTACCAAAGGCTTGAAAATACCAGGAAAGTTCCCAGAGTAAATGAGCACAAGTTTCCAGAGGTCTTTATTGTGAAACATCAGTGCAGTAAAAGAAAGGAGGAAAAAAATAGCCTTGGGTTTGATAGTAGCACCTCTGTAGGCTCTAGAAGCTGGGGAAGGAGGGGTTGATGAGCAATGATCGAAAAGTAAATTATTTCAAACCTGGAATTCTATGTCCTGCCCATAATGACTTCTGAGAAGAAATACTTGTTTCAGCTGTCAGGTCTTCAGAACCTTATTCCTGCATGCCTATGTAAAGGCCCACCAGAGGAGCTAATAAGGCAAGAATAAACATTACAGAGACAGGCCCTACATGAGAGACAAAAAGGGAGGTTGCAAGCTGTGTCCAGGCTGAAAACATTCCTTCAGCACTAGAACAGACAGTGACTGTAAGGAGAGTTACTATGCCCCATGGAGAAGGACCCAGGAGTACTTGTGCCAGCCCACACTGGAGCTCTTAGCATTCTGTCAGAAGGTGAGGCTAAATTAGTGATGTGTACATACAAAGTTAAGTACATAAAAAGAGGCAGTTAGTAGCTAAAGGAAGTTTTAAAGCAAAAAAGAAGACAAAATACAGTGACTCTATTTCCAAATAGTACTTGGATATACAGGACCAGTGATCCTGGAGCCAGGCATGGTGGCATGTGCCTGTAGTCCCAGCTTCTTGAGAAACTGAGGCAGAGGAGCACTTGAACCCTAAGACAAGCCTGGGCTACATAATAGGACCCCATCTCAATAATTATAAAAAGACCAAACTTATGGGGCTGGAGAGATGGCTCAGCGGTTAAGAGCACTGACTGCTCTTCCAGAGGACCCGGGTTCGATTCCCAGCACCCACATGGCAGCTACAAACTGCCCTTAACTCCAGTTCTAGGGGAATCCGAACCTCCGTGGCATTGCACGACACGGGTGCACTCACATACATGCAGGCAATGGCTCAGTGGGTAAGAGCTCTGGTTGCTCTTGCAGACCCGGGTTTGGTTCCCAGCACCCACAAGGAGGCTAATAAACCTCCTCAACTCCACTTCCAGGCAATCCAATGCCCTCTTCTGATCTCCACAGGCATTGCATGACACAGGTGCACTTACGTACATGTAGACAATACACTCATACATGCAAAATAAAAATAAAAATAGAAACAGGATAGCAGGGTGACTAACAACTGTAATTCCAATATTCAGGAGGCACACGGGAGGAAGGTTGAGAAAATTCAAAGCCACCCTGATCTACCTACAGAGTTCCAAGCCAACCTGGACTCTACAATGAGATTCTCAAAAAACAAAAAATAAATAATGGGGCTAGAAAGCTGCCTCAGCAGTTAAGAAGGCATATTGCTTTTGCAGAGGACCTGAATTTGGTTCCCAGCACCCAGTCAAGTGACTCACAACTGCCTGTAACTCCAGTTCAGGGGATCCAGTGTCCTTGTGGCTGCTGTGGGCACTACACTTACATGCACAAATACATTGATACATATATATACATAAAATTAAAAAAAATTTTTTGGGTAGGGAGTTTGAAACAGAGTCTCCCTGTAGCCCCAGATAGCCTGGAACTCTTTATGTAGACCAGTCTGGCTCTACCTCACAGAGAGCTGCCTGCCTCTGCCTCCCAAGTGCTGGGATTAAAACCTTGCTTATACAAATACCATTAAAAAAGAAAGAAAGAGGGGTTGGAGAGATGGTTCAGCAGTTAAGAATACTGACTTCTTGCAGAAGACCTGGGTTCAAATCCCAGCACCCACATGGCAGCTAACAACTGTGCATAACTCCAGTTCCAGGGGATCCAACAGCT